ACTAATTTGTGTGACAGAACGATCATATAGAAAATAACTATATAACCCTATATATATATATCAATCTCAATCTCAAAAATGACATTCTAATTATATTAGAGATAAATTTTTAATAATTAATGATAAACATCACTAATGAATCACTAAACACTAGGCCTAAACCTAGAGCAAGCGCATAAGCGAGGGTCTAATCAACCTAAGCACTTCGCAAAGCACCTACGCTAATCACCTAATGAATCACTAAGCACTATGCAAGTGAAGATCACTAAAATAGTGTATCAACACCATTGGTATGTTTCCTCGGCTCTCCACACCTCAAATGGCCGGTTGGGGGGTCTATTTATAAGTCCCATGGAGAAAGTAGTTGTTGGGACGAAACCCAGCTTTCTGCCATTGACCGGACGCGCAGGTCGTCCTGATCGGACGCGTCTGGTCGTCCCGACCGTTGAAGCCGACCGTTGGCGCTCACTATTGATCGAACTCTCTAGCGAGTCCGGTCGCTTACCATCTGACGTGTCCGGTTGACGTTTCGCCGTTCTGGAATCTCTCTGGACTCGATCGAACGCCACTGCCTGACACGTCCGATCGTCCATAGCTGCTATGTTCGGTCCTCACTGAGTTTTGTCGCAACGATGAACAGTGAAGTCCGTGTGTCCGGTCACTACCTCGCTCAGAGTCCGGTCGCTGCTGCTGACGTCTACTGTTGCCGAGCAACTGATCGGACGCGTCCGGTCCTCATAGGGCCGCGTTCGGTCACCTCTGTCGAGCTCGTTTCTTTGCAATCTTTTGTATGGCTTGGTTTCTATCTTCGTGCTTGGACTTTGCTTGATATCTTGGGTCTTCTCTTGTGCTTATAGGGTCTTGCTTATGATGTTGATCGTGGGATCATCATATCGCCTTCGTCCAAGTCACATCTTGCACCCTATTGAACTACAAAATAATTACTTGTAAATTCATTAGTCCAATTTGGTTATGTTGGTTATCAAACACCAAAATCCAAATTAAATGGGTCTAGGGTCCATTTTCCTTACAGCAGTAAAGGCGGAGCTAGGGGGCGCTGACATCGAGTCAAGTCCCTGCTCCACTTTCCCCCAAGCGCGCCGCCCACTCCATGCCCGTCTCCTCTCGGGACTTGAGGGGATCTGACTTTCCTCGGGCCCACCGACGCACACCAAGTGCCGCGGCTTCTCCTCCGCCAGATCTGCTCCATGTGGTCTGATGTCCCATCTCCAAGACGAAGTGGGACGGCACGAGAGTGAATGCCATAACTCCTCTGCCCGGCGTGGCGCTCCAGGCGCCATGAACCGCCTGCATAGAGCGTCAATGGACGGGACGCCCCCAGAAGCCACCACTCCCGTTGACAAGGAGGCCCCACGACAGCCTCGGGGGCTACGCCGGCTCCCTAGACGGAGCAACCCGACCCCCAGATCGACGGGCGCTCGGGCGGCGCACCCCCAAAACCAACCAACTCCCCAGAGTTGGGTCTAGAGCCGCTGAGCAATGGACCCAACGAGGGTCCTTGCCTGAGCTCAGCGTGCTCCAATCCCCGCGCCCCTACCTATGGCCGCAGAAGGTTGGCCCAAGAAGGCCAGCCCGAGAGGATTGGGGCCTGCTACCGAAGCCCCCATAAGGGCATGGTGCACTGGGTGATCATGTGGCCCCAAGCCAGAGCCAAGACGCTCTCGATCACCCGACCCAAAAGCAGGCTCCGACCAAAAAGAAGGGTGGCCCTAAGCCTGAAGTTGGTAACTCCCAGATGAGTTCACCGAACCCTCGCTCAGGCCATAGACCTAAGCGACATAGGATCAAAAGAGGGGTCAGCACCACAACCGCTCGGCCTCGGTAGCCGAGCACCCCCATCACACTGGAGAAAGAGCCCCACGGAGGGCATTGCACTCTCATCAGCGAAAGCCATCCCCGCCATGGCTAGTTCGGTCACCAGAAGATCGAATTTAGCCCCTCGTCGCCATCACGAATAAGTGAGGACATGAAGGGCTCAGGGGCTCCTGACGAGATCCTAACATACGGGTATATTAAGCCACAGGGTCTATGGTTCCCGAGCGAAGAGACCCCCGGCCGATCCCTCCAGGATCGCTCGGGGGCTATACCCATCGGGTACGCTCATGCGCACCCTCAGACCAAAGAACCTGCCTGAGCCCGAGCACGCCAACGCCTCTGCTCAGGGCTCGGGGGCTCGCTCGGGCCTCAGGCTCCCAATCGACGGGAAACCTGAGCCCTGTCCTCGGCTCCTGCCCGGCCTATGACGCCAGCCAAGGCCCGGACACAAGAAGACATGCCCCGAGCCTCGGGGCTCCTCGACGCAGCACTTTGGGTGTGGCCTTGTCGGCCGCTGCCCTGATAGGGTCACGCACAGGGCGTGACACAAGAAGACAAGCTCTCCTCGACCTTTGGGGACTTGGGGGCTTCCGAGCCCACGCGTCAGCACCTCGAGCCGACCTCCCTCGCTACCAAGAAGACTCTATAAGGTGCGCCTAGGGGAGGCCGGTCTAAGCCGACACAGCCTAACACTTAGTGTGTCAGAACAGGCCAGTCGAACAACGCCTAAGGCTTCTTCGGCTCTACCACATAGCCATGGTCCACAAAGCATCGCTGCAAGACCCTCCTGGACTCCAGCGCATATAGACCATAGGCTCAACCCCCCAAACCTCCATGTACCCAACCTATCTCGATATATAAGGGGTAAGGTTGGATCCTAGAGGGAGCTCCTCCACCGCACCCGTCGTCTTCCTCCTCTCCGACGAGATGAAGGCTCCACCGACGGCGAGACAACCTCAGGATTAGCATCGAGCTAACCCCCTACCAAATCTCTCTTTTCCTCCTGTACACCATGTTGTAACCCCCTGATTTTGGGTGCTCTTGAGTATAAGGATCATCAGTTGCTGGACGCAGGGCATCGATCTGCCCAAACTAGGATAAACAGTTGCGTCCTCTCTATGATTCTTATATTCTTGAATCCACCCGAGCCACCGGAGACATGTACTCTGACACCGACTCGAACAACAATGTTTGCCTCGGTTCTGACCCCGCGACAGGTTAGAACATTGTTGTTATTTACCATATGCTTTTAAACATGCATATGCTTCACTTAAAAATAAGAGGCATATGTTGACACTCGACTTAGGCCCAGGCCGGTTTTAAAATTGGCATATGCCAGTTTTGGCTCAATCTAAAAAAAACTCTACGAAGCGACATGTAATTGTACCACATTGATTTTCCAACAGGATATGACCACCCCTACTGCATATAAAATGAGGTACCAACTACACAATCACAGTTATCAATATATACCCCTTTTTACTCATTATCTTGCAACCCCCTACTGTCATACATGTCCCTCGACGGAATTTGTGGGCGTTTTATGTGGCCTTGTTGATCCTAGGACACCCTCCACCATGTGTCTCCACGACGAGTCTTCTCGGGAGCCATTCATAGATTTATCATGCGTAGAACGAGCATTAAATCGGCCTCGTCAGCCTGTTGGTCGGCCTCGCTATTGGGACCTTCCTCTATTGTATACACACTATTCATAATTTTAAATGGTTTAGATTAGTATTTTTTCTCAATTAATTAAAAAAGAAATAAAAATATTTATACTTTACACACTAACCTGGCACGAGAAAAAATCATGATATATTAATACACATTTATAATACATGCGTATGATTAGCATATACAGTCACTCACTAAAATAGGTGGTATAGATTACCTTTTTTATGTAAAGATTACATTATTTTGAGTTTATAGGATTGAAAAAAGAAACATTTTTAACGAAAAGACTTGTGTATATTGTACCTAGAAGTCTTATATATGTTTAATTAAGCACTAAATACTGGAGATGTTGTTGCATGCACGTGTTCTGTACTTCTTTAGCTTAATGCGAGTAACGAACTAACGACGGTGATTAGCACAAGCAGCCGTTTGCACAGCACCCATGCGACGATTTCGATTGCCTGGCTGAGGAACGATTTCGATAGCTGCCTTTGCCTGGCCCTGTCTAATATTCAGGACTCCTTTATCGGAAAAAAAAACAAAAGAAAATAAAACAGGACTCTAACCAAACGTAACTCCAGGAAAAAGGCAGATAGTTGTGAGCGCTCTGGCAAATTTGATCTAGAGCTGCAACCAAGCGCGCCCTAAATGCGAAATTTTTAGGGGTTAGGAACACTGTTTTTTACGAGGTATTCAAGTAATAAGAGTGCAACATACTATCTAAATCCTTCTTTTTAATAGCATACACAATGGATTTTTGAATAAATGGTACGACAAGCGTAGTATTTTTCAATTTAAATTGAGAATAAATATTTGCAGAAACAAATACGATAAACAATGTTAAAAGCCAAAATCTAGATTCATGGTAGGATAAGACATGGGCTGTAACCAGAGTCACCGTAACTTAAGCTCATATCACTTTAGACCGTATGTATATACTCCCTTCATCCTAAATTGTAAGTCATTCTAATTTTCTGGAGAGTAAAGCCTCTCAAGTTTGACCAAATTTAAATATAATAAAGTAATAACATTTATGATATCAAATAAGTATTATTAGATTCTTCATTAAATATATTTTCATAGTATACCTATTTGATGTCATAAATCTTTGTAATTCTCTCTATAATTTTAGCCAAACTTAATACGTTTTGGCTCTCCAAGAAAATTGGAATGACATATAATTTGAAATGAAGGGAGTATAATATTGAAGACAAATATAATGTTAGGCTTAAAAGTCAACAACTTGCATATTAAAGACACACGGAGGAAAAGTATCATGATTGGACAACATACGTATTACGTTAGAAAGTAAAGAGAGGGCACACGAAGATATGTGTAATTTTTGTTAGCTATATATAGTAGGTATTATATTAAACACGACCTTCTAATTCTCCTAAGATTTTCACCATTGCTGAAGCAGAGTTGATGGGCTTGTTGTTTCTCATGAATTCTGTTCATTTGTGGTGACTCGTGAGAGCAGAAACCTGCAGATGGAGTACCTCGACCTGTACTTAATCCACATGCCCGTCTGCCAGAAGCCCGGGCCGCCTGTGTTCCCGGCCAGGAGGGAGGACGCCCTCCCGTTCGATTTCAAGGGCGTGTGGCAGGCGATGGAGGAGTGCCAGCGACTTGGGCTCGCCAGGGCCATCGGCGTCAGCAACTTCACGACCAAGCACCTCGACAAGACGTTGCCTTTTGCCACCATCACCCCTGCAGTGAACCAGGTACGGTTGCCGATCGATCTACCTAGCTAGTCGATGGAGATTGTAATTAGCCTTCGATTAATCACACGACGGCGGTGTTTATGCTAATCCCTCCAGCCCTGCGCACATGTCTGTCTGTCTGTAGGTGGAGCTGAACCCGGTTTGCCAGCAGCCAAAGCTGAGGAGGTACTGCGCCGAGAAGGGCATCCACGTCCAGGCGTTCTCGCCGTTGGGAGGGCAGAGCTGGACGGGGGAAAGAAACGCCGTGCTCGAATCCCAGGTTCTCGCGGAGATAGCTAAGGCAAGAGGGAAGACCGTGGCACAGGTATTATATATTCTCATAACACAGCTACCTGCCTCTGTACTTCAGACGTCTAAGTGTTGATGATAAGCGCTGATGCTCCAGTTATATCTCTTTGATTGATGCTTAGAGTGAGTCACAGATGTACCCTCCTATTTCAGGTGTCATTGAGATGGGTATATGAGCAAGGAGTGAGCCTTGTCGTCAAGACCTACAAACAGGAGAGGCTTAAGGAAAACCTTGAGATTTTCGACTGGGAGCTGACTGACGAGGACAGGTTCAAGATCAGCCAGATCCCACATCACAAGAAGCTTGCTGGTTTCGCATACATCTTCAAGCCAGAAGGTGAATTCACATCGGTTGACATTTCGGAAATCAATCCTGAAGAGGATTAGGCGCTCAAGAATTGCCCTGCCTGCCTGTCAGGCTCTCAATTTCGCTTCAGAGTTCAGACAGTACTTATATATTATTTTATTTGAATAATACGGCAGCAGCAGGCTGTCCGTTACTACTGTGTTGATGCCTTTTTTTCACCCGAAATCCTGTAATATAAAATGGTGTTGTATTATAAGATTGGAATGATATTGCCTACTTATTCCTCAACTGAAATATGGGGTAAATTAAAACTTACTACACTGGCCTGGGTAGCATTTACGATTTACAGCCGCCATCATCTAGGGGTCCAAATGCTCAGCATTTGGTGTCTTGTCAGACTGAGACAAATCTTTTAAGCCTAATTAGTCCACGATTTGATAATAAAGTGTTACCGTACACATATGCTAATGCTGGATTAGTTATGTTTAATAAATTTATCTTGTAGTTTATCGACAAATTTATAATTTATTTTTTTATTAATATCCAAACACTAACCTATGATCTGACGTAACACTCCGAAACTTTACAACTGGATCTAAACACCACCTCAGCCGAACAGAAAAATTGGCAGCGAAAATGAACTTACGTGCAAATCATTGTTGGCAAGCATGCCGACGACACTGAAGATGGTGGCGGTGAGCCCGATGACGAGCTGCATCTCGATGACGAGCGTGTAGGTGACGGCCGCGGCGCCTGCGCGCGCGGCGTGGCGCGCCTGGCTGAGCTCCATGACGGGGAGCACGAGGCCGTAGAGCGCGGCGGCGCTGAGCGTCATGGCGAACCCGGCGCCGTACTGCGCCCGCGACACGCCCGCGGGGCGGTCCCCGCCGGCGTTCATCCCGAGCATGGCGGCGCCGGCGCTGAGCAGCGCCACGGCGTTCACCGAGAACGCCGTGAACCGCTGCCGCACCAGCAGCAGCGCGAAGGCGGCCGTGAAGGCCAGCTGCGTGGAGATGAGGATGGAGGACGTGGACACCGGCAGGTACGCCAGGCCGTAGGCGTACAGGAGGTCGTCGAGGCCGGTCATGAGGCCGATGGCCGAGGACGCCGCCAGGAGGCGGGGCGTCATGAGGAAGAACGGCGTGCGGGACGACTTCGCCGGCGTGTCGTCGCGGTCGCGCCGGCGGCGACGGGAGAAGGAGACGCAGAGCGGCACGAGCAGGAGCGGGAAGCCGGCGGTCTGGAGGAAGGCCGAGAGCCACTTGCGGGCGCCGCCGTGGAGGAAGTAGGCGCGGAGGAACAGCGGGCCGCCCGCTGAGGCGACGACCATGAGGACGAAGTTGACGACGAGGAGCGGGTTGCGGAGTGTCGTCCTTGTAGTGCCGGCGCTCTGGGCGACATGAGTGGTGCCGGCGCTCTTGCATGGCTGCGCCTGCGCCGGTGTTTCCTCCATGGAGACGCGCTGGCGTATGGTTGTATGATGAAGGGATGGTCTCGAGGTGCCGGGATGGACACGGACGGATGTGCGAGTTTCGAGCGCGTGTCATCATATATCATTGGCGAGATGCACGAAAGGATATGCCTTTTCAGCTTTTGACGTTTTGGGCGGCGGGATTTAGCGTGTCCTAGCCTTTGAGATATACGGTGGCGTTTCGGCGGGCTAGAGTATAGAGATGTCATATCAATGTTACATGCGATGCTATACGAAAGTATTCCGATAATAATAATAAAATAAATTACAGAAGGCCTCAGAAATTCATGAGACGAATTTATTAAGTCTAATTAATTCTTTATTAGTATATGTTTACTGTGGTATCATATTGTCAAAAATCATAGACAAATTAGGCTTAAAAAATTCATCTCGTAAAGTAGTCGCAATATATATAATTAGTTATTTTTAACCTATATTTAATACTCTATGCATATATAAACATCTGATATAATATGGACTAAATTTTAAAGAAGGGACTAAATAAGGCGTCCAGAAGACTAACCCAATTCAACTGGCTGACGTTTTCTGGCTAGTGACTAGCTCGTGTGCCTTGCAATATGTCTGCCGTGGATGCTTGGGCCGGGCATTTTGTTCTCGGTGTTTAGTGTGGTCAACAGCGGCTGGGAGCGGTCAGCTCCAGAGGACGTGAGGCATCTGAGAACTCGAAGCAGGTCTCTGCGCCAGTTGTGGGCCATTTGAATCCATCCCAAGCTCCCAGCATGCCCTGTCGTTCGCCAAACGCGGCCCAATTATTAATAGAGAAACCATTATAAAAGATCGCAATTTTCTGTTTCGAAAAATTTATAAAAGATTTGATCTATTGTGTGTTCGAAAAAAATTCAATAAAAACTAAAATTTTTTAATTTTGTTGATCCATGCCACTTAAATGAAAAAATTAAAAGTCTTAGATCTCGTTTAGATCTATTTTCATAAAAAAATTATTTTCATTTAATTCCGTAAAAAATATGATTTGATATGATTAATATATCTTAGAAAAATCATCATATTTTTTTGCGGAATTAAATAAAAATAATTTTTATATGAAAATTATAGATCTCGACGAGATCTACAACTTTCTAGTTTTGAGTTTTTTCATTTGAAGTCGTTAAGATACTCAAAAAAAATTAATAACATATTTGAACTTAAGGGCATTTTCGTCTTTTCACACCTGTAGTTTGACGGCGTTAGAGGCTGAACTGACAGAAGTGGCATGGAGGACCCGAAAAAGTTAAAGTAGTGGCGCTGAAGACCGCTGAATTTTTCTAGGGGCACAGAGGGGATTACGATCTTTTATAATGACATACGGGGAAAAGTCTCTTAATACTAGCACATCCCCTCCCTTTTCCTGGGTGCACTCCGACGGAGCGTTCGACCGTCAGAGCGCCTATGTTCGGCACACGAGAGCGTCTGACCTTCCCATGCTTTTTTAGCTAGACTAGATGCATGGCTGTCTCTGAGCTTGTTAAGAGATACTTCCTCTGTGGCTCTATCCCATAAAAGGATTCGTACATAATATTAGAAATATTTATATATCTATAAATAAGTTTATTATAAAATATATTTAATAATCTATCTATTGATTGCATGCCTCCACACTAGGTGGCCACATGTGCCCCTTCCTCACCAAAGCAGAAATTCCACATGCCCCTGCGGACACCAGGCTTATCCTGAATGGTAGCGGGCGTCAAGATTCGCGCCGGGGAGGAGGGGGGAGGGGAAGAAGACCGGTGCGGTGCCAGTGGCCAGCGGCGGCGGCGGGCGACTGAGGGCGCGAGTGGGGGCTGATGGACGCCGGGGTCAGCGGCGCTGGAGTCGAGGGGGCTGCCGGAGACGGGCATGACGGCGAGCAGCGCCGTGCGAGTGGGGATGGATGGGAGAGGAAGCAATTAAAAATAAAAAAAGGAGTGGGACCCACGATGAGATCGATGGCTAGGATAAGCCTTGTGGTCGCAAGGGCGTATGGGGCTGCATTTTCGCTTCCTCACTAGTCCCATGCGCTCTGTACTCGTCGGTCGCGTGTGCCCCTCCCTCGCGGTTGCGCATGCTTCGAGTCCCATGCTCGCTAGCTACGCCCCTGCCCCCACGCTCGTTGTTCGTGTGCCGCCTCTACACTCACTGCTGCATGTGCCCCTCCCTCGTCAGCCCCATGCCCTCGCTCCTACGCTCGCCGTTTGGGCGCCGCCCTGCACTCGGCAGCCCTACCTCCATGCTCTTCGAGGGAGAGACATTAGAGCAAGGTGGCGTCAACCTCCGTCTAGCACGCACGGGCACGGGAGCCGTTGTGGTGGTCGGTGAGTGAGAACGATGTGAAGATGAGCACAAGGATCTCATCAAGACAACGAGTTGTTGTTGTTGCTATCACTCCCCCCCCCCTTCCCGCCTCAATGGCCTGCATCGATGTGTCAGGCGCAACTACTACTACGATAATGGCGCCACAAGGCAGACCCTCGCCTCCTTGACCTCACGCCACCACCGAGATCTGTCCCACCCATTCTGCGTTGATCTACACAAGGATAAAGGGACAAGATTGTCCACCGGAGGCCGGAGTTCATGGTGCTCTCGTGTTTGGCGACGCCGCCACGATACCCCGCCGCTCGCATGTGCTCATCCATTAGCCGGTGAACATTCACCTCGGGCTGAAGGGGGATCAATTCCTGAGATAAGAAAGAAGGGAAGAGGTTAAATAAAAAAATACATTCCACGTTGGTGTGGCACATCATCAAGGAATGCACATATGTATTATAGATCTATGATGTACCACTTAACAAGTTTAGGAATAAAAAAATACTTGTTCAAAGTTTGTAGACCAAATGGCATCCCTAACAAGTTCAGAAATTGTTCATGAATTTAACTCCTTTTTTCCATCTTGGAATTAACCTTTTCATGGCTGGCGAGCCGCCGGTGCTAGCCATATAATACTGGCTCCAGAGGGCGTGACAGAAACTTCCCGAGGCCTAAGAATATTGAACTCTGTTACACGGTTCAAGCTTCAAACTTGAGGATTTGAAATCGAGGGGGGGGGGTGGATTAGTAGAGATGATCTCTATAAGAGCACCTGCCGGAAATTTACATGGACGACGCTCTGGGTGCCTGTTTCTGTGCTGAGCAGTGAGCATTGAGCGTGCGGCTTGTGTACGCCCGTGCCTGCTGCGCCTGCTTCACGTGGGGTCTGCGTCGCTCCATGTCCTGCATCCGCACCGTGGCCCGTGCTGCTTCATGTCTCGTGCCAGCACCTTGGCCCCCACGCGCGTCGTGTCCCACGTCCCGCACCGTGGCTTCCACTCCACACCCACGCCATGCAGATGGGTCCCACTGTAACATGTGCAACATCAATATATAATTTTACAACATCTGGATGAAACACTTGCAACATACGTCCGAAACAATTGAAATACTTGCAACATACGTCTGAAACACTAGAAAAATACATTTGTAGCCATTGCAAAATATATGTAACATCCAGATGAAACACTTGCAACAAAGGTATAAAACACCTGAAACACTTGAAACATACGCTTATAACAGTGCAATATCCAGATAAAACACATGCAACATACGTTTAAAATAGATGAAACATTTGGGACATACACTTGAAAACACCATTGCAACATGTGCAACATCCCGATTTACTTTTGCAACATCTATATAAAACACTTGCAACATACCTCTGAAATATTTGAAACACTTAAAATAGACGCTTGCAACATGCAGTTTCAGCGCAACATCTCCTTGCTGCTTGGGAGAATGGATCCTCGTCGATGTGTGGAGTTTTATCCCGGCCATTGCGGGCTACACACAAGCGACTTCAGCCCCGGCCACAACGAACTGGGTAGGTGGGCCCGAGATGTGCGTGGGCGAGCTCCACCTAGGCTGCCGTGAGCTGCACGGGCGAGCTCCACACCCGGTCGCAACGAGCTGGGTAGACAGAGGCGGAGGTCATCCTGGCTGCCGATTAGGCGTCTGGCACCCGTGGTGGAGTCGGTAGCGGTCTCCCTCACCACAGGCGGGCGGCGCAGCGTGGCCGGTGAAGCTCGTGCGTACACGGCTAGCGGCGGCGCCTGACACTCGTGCGTATGCGGACGGCGATGGCGCTCGAGCGGACACGGGCGCTAGCAGAGCTCGAACGTACGCGACCAAAGGGCGGGCGGTGCGGTGGAGCCGATACGAATGTGGAGATAAGATAGCGCTCTATTTTCTATTTTTTGGGGAGAAATCATGTATGCCAATGAGGGGGGCAGGCCTGTGGCCCGGTCCACAGCCCAGCTAGCCGCGTCCGGATTGACCGACACGGAACGGACGTCCGTGGTGGTATTTTTTCAATTATTTCTTCTAGATTGACTCCCTCTATCCTAGAATAGAAGTCGTTATGGAATGCATGCAGGTCAAACTTTCTCAACTTTGACTAGGTTTATAAAAAATGCGTGCAACATTTATATCTCCAAATAAGCTTATTATAAAAATATAATGAGCAATCTATCTAATGTTATTAATTATGTATTATAAATATTAATATTCTTTTATATATAATTGATCAAAAGTTAAAAAAAAATTGACTTCTCGGGAAACGTGAACGACTTCTATTTTAGACAGTGTGTTAAGTTCCATGTGTTAGATGACTGAGTATAGACAACTATAGTGAATCTAACTAAGCTACGGTTGATTCGTAGGGACGTCCCACCGAGTTTTTTTTTTTCCTCCCACTGGCCACTGTAAAGCCATCAAAGACGCTCTGGGTGCCTGTTTCTGTGCTGAGCAGTGAGCATTGAGCATGCGGCTTGCGTTTTTCCGATTGAGCATGCCATCTATCGTCCGCCCCGGAGCATTTCCTCCCAAAATCGCACACTGACGGCTGACCTCACTGGATCACGACGATAGTACTAGATCGGAGTAGATCCATTAACCATTATGGCGTCACGTCCATGCACGCCGTGCGCACCTGACCAACGAGAGCCGGCTGCAGCCTTCAGGTTCGGCGGCGGAGCAGTCCATCGTCCTCGTCCCACTCCCACAACATCCCTGCCTTATCCAATTTTTGGTTCGAGAACGATATGGCCATCTGTGGATTCAGGGATATATCCATGATGTTTGTTTAGTTGGATGGATGAGACGAACTATTTTCTATTTAGTTGGATGGATGAGATTGTACGGGACGAGAATACTTGATTAATTATATCTATTATTTAAAAATAATAACAACTAATTATACTCTAATAAATATGTACTTACACTAATCTTGTCATTATAATCGCTAATTAAAAATAAAATATATTAATTAGCACTATACTACTCTAATTGTCACACAAAACATACGCTAATCAACATGTGGATATCCTCATCCACCAAATTTTTAAGGGCCAGGATATCCAACATCTATCCAAAATATTCTCTGTCGTGGATATCTAGATTTAGCTTGTCCATCTAATTAAATACTCTGTATCCATATATATTCATGTCCCATCCATAAATATCATGAAACCAAACGCACCCTTATCCTTAGCCCTTCGGGAACCGACCCCTGAATACGCACTGGCGCACTGCCCAGCCCACATCCCAGAGGCCATGGTGGCATCTGTTCCCGATAACGATAGAAGCATTGCCCAATCCCAGCAGCTGATTTTCTTTTCTTCCGGTGACAATCATTGACGAGATCGGTGCAAGACTGCAAGGTACTACAGTGTAACTAAAGCAACAGAAATGAACACAGAAACAGACATTTCTTTCTTTTTATATATTCGTTCAGATCAGATCATTCCTGGGATGGGCCCACAAAGTACGCCGATTGATCCATTTACCACGACTCCAAACCTAGCTAACTATCCAAACGTGGTGGTACTGCCACGGTACCTCCATGCACCATGCAGTACACTATTGCCCAATGCCCACTGTGTGAACAGAAGAGCGCCACACGCGACAGCTGCAGGTGACACGACTGACGACGACTCAGGACGCCATCCACACGGCCGCCGCAATCACAAACATAGTACATACAGAGAGTACAACGGGGAAGGAAGATCGAAGAGGCCAAACAAAGCCTCTCTCATCGACGACGTACGTCCACAGCAGCAGCAGCACAGTGCACGGACGATCACGGGGCCGCCGGCTGGGCCTCCGCCGCGGCGGCGGCGCCCTCCCTCTTCTTCTTGGCCTGCTTCTTGGCCTCGCTCCACTCGCCGTAGGAGTAGGAGGCGAGGCCCCAGAGCGAGAGCACCAGCGCCACGCCTTTCTCGCTGCTGAACTTCTCGTGCAGGAAGATGACGGCGGCCACCTCGGTCACCGGGATGAACACGGCGATGAGGATGCCCGCCAGCAGCGTGTGCACGCAGAAGATGACCCCCACCGCGCCTAGGAAGAAGCACTGCCACAGCACCGCTGACCACACCAGCACCGTGTAGTACCGGCTCTCCCCCAGCTCGTACTGCCTCGCCTCCCTCGGGATCGCCTGCATGCGCATGCGCGCGCGAAGACAACGACAGAGTGATCAATGGTTTTTCTATTTTTTTTTATCAGGCGAATGGATAGATATGCAGAGGTTTCAGTAATCTGAACATAGCTAGTAACGACCAAGTTTTACTTCTCTTTACTGTGTGCATCATGCAGCCATGCGCGTAAAAGATAAACAGAAAGGGGGAAGTGTATGGACAAAAGTATGGTCATCTTTATCCTTGAAAAATGTCTTGTACTGACTAAGAGGTATGCACCTCATCTTTTTCCAAAAAGAAGTACAAAAAGAAGAAGAAGTGTTGATCGTGAACTGCCCTACATTGCATTCCTGTTACTATCCCTATCAGACTATCAGCGTGCGTATCAGCGTATGTATATAAATAAATCAGCTTTATCCCATCAAGACGCAAAGTTTGAACTGCGAAGTGCGATGCTCGGTGAAACGCTTGCATCTGTCATGCGCCGCCGCCAAGGATACAATGCTAGGTAGGTGACCAGAGCACAGTGAGTCACTCCTCACTGATGTTCATGCTTTCTTCAATCATCGTCCTCACCTTTCGCTGATGGGATGGAAGTATGGCATTACTACCCAACCCAACCCTTGATGAAGGGCAAGGGGGGCCCTGAGTCCTAGTGCGTGCTGGTGATCCGTCCTTTTGTATGCTCTATTGATATACGCCATTGTTAGTGGAGGAGCATAGGCTCACCTACCGCATCGATTCTGCCGACCAGAGACATCGCGCAGTCGGATTCATATATATCTCGCGCATTTCGGCTAATGAGCTAGCAGATGATTCGCTAGCTATTTCCATTTTTTCTGTTTCCACTAATGAGCTAGCTAGCAAATGATTCGCTGAAAATGCCCTTTGGAATTGCTCGGCGTGCACCTCATCAGATGATTGGGGATAAAGCCATCACGGGAGCTAGAGGGGGTAGGACGCAGGAACAATGGCGCTCGTCATGGGCAACTCATGGTCGTCACCAACTACAGCTAGTTAACCACACTATCGTTTTCCCCTGGTACAGTACAAGTACATGGGAGTACCGAGTACCTCTGCACAGTCCCAAGTTCAGAATCAAAAGGCAAAAGCTTATCTAAGTTTCCACTCTCTATGATGAAGAATTGAAGAGCATCCAGACGAAAAAGCACTGAGAAGACACACACTATGGCATGACCATCAAAGGTGGAAGGATTCAACGGACGAGCTTATTTGCCTTTCCAGCCATGATCTTTGTCACGGTCTCATCTCGCACAGCAGGAAACCTCAATAATTTTGATTCCTTTGGAACGAAATGGACAGCTTTGCGCCCTTTTCTCTCTATTCCTCTCTACGTGAAGAATTTCACCACTAAAACTGTGACGGAGATCCGCGCAAAGAAATCGAGTAGTACACAGCGACAGGCTCTCAAACGGACGCCACAGGCAGGCACGGGTGCCGCGCGCCTGACGAGTCGCTGGCCGTTTCCACTCATCCACTGTGGGCGATTTGCGGCATGCATGAAGACTGGGCCAGGCCTGCTGATCGGCAGTGAGGAACTGGTGGCCACTGTTGCGAATCCTGCCGGCAAAATCTGGCGCCTGTATCGGTGCCGTTACGAACCGGCTGATTAAGGCCGTACACTGGTCTTGTCAGTTTCATGATCCAAATTGGTAGAGCTAACCATGCAGACGGTCAAACAAGACGCGAATTCTAGTGCATGCTAATCAGATGATACGAAATCTCTATTTTAAACACCGGAAAACCAGGGAGGGAAAATGGCGCAATTCCTAGTTTCCTCCCACAGCAATCTTGCCACCAAGACAGGACTTGAATCATTGCAAATGGACATCTACTACGTCAGCGTAGTTTGGTTGTTTCTTGTTATCGTTTCGTTGGGACTTGGAGCTAGATACCAAGACGTAGAGGTAGTGAAACCACTCTACGAGAGGTGGTTAGCGTGTAGGAGTAGCAGGCGAGCGACACGTGGGAACTCACCTGGAAATCCTTGTTGACGATCATGCCTACAGTGCAGAACGCGGTGGCGAAGAACCCCATCACCAGCTGCATCTCCACCACCAGCGCGTACGACACGGCGCGGCCGCCGCCCGCGGCGCGCTTGTACGCGAGCTCCACCAGCGGCAGGACGAGGCCGTAGAGCGCGGCGGCGCCGAGCGTCAGGGTGAAGCCCAGCCAGTACTGGCCCCTGGTGACCCCCGGGGGCCGGTCCGACGAGACGTGCAGGCCCAGCACCACGGCGCCCACCGTCAGCAGCGCCACGGCGTTCACGGACGCCGCCGTCAGGCGCTGCCGCACCACGAGGAACGCGAAGAACACCGTGAACGCCAGCTGCGTCGAGATCAGGATCGCGGACGTGGACACGGGGAGGTACGCGAGCCCGTAGGCGTAGATGAAGTCATCCACGCCCGTCGCGACGCCGAGCGCCATGGCGGCCAGCAGGATCCGCGGCGGGGTGAGCAGGACCGGCGCGCCCCGGTCGCGCGCGCGGCGGGCGAGGAACGACGCCGCCACGGGAACCACCAGCAGCGGCCAGCCGCCGGTCTCGAGCCACGCGGACAGCCACTGCCGGTGGCCGCCCTTGCTGAAGTAGAGGCGACTCAGGAGCGGACCGCCGATGGCTCCCAGCGCGAGCATCCCGCAGTTGAGCGGCACCAGAAAGCGGTGCATCGCCTTGCCGCGCGCGGGCGGCGCGTCCTTGCGCGCTTCTACGTCCATGGCGCTGCGGCTGGCTCTGCCTGCGCACGTCTGCGTCTGCCCGCGCGAGACGCAGTCACGCACACGAGGGTGGTTGGCGTGTGAGGCCTGCCTTAGGTGTGGAATCTAGCACGGCGCTTTGGATACAATGATGTCGACGCCGGCAGCGGATTAATTTCACTCCTTGTAGACGCGAGCTGTGTGCACCGGATCCTATTTACGTGCAAGGCACCCATGGGAGTGTGATTTTATTAAACTAAGGGGCTGTTTGTTCTTTAGCCGATTGTAAAATTCAGGTCACATCGAATGTTTAGATACTAATAAAGAGCATTAAATATAGATTAATTATAAAACCAATTACATAGATGGAGGCTAATTTACGAGACGATTTTTTAAGCCTAATTAATATGTCATTAGCATGTTTACTGTAGCACCACGTTGTTAAATCATAAACTAATTATGCTTAAAAGATTTGTCTCACAAATTAGTCGTAAGTTGTATAATTAGTTTTGTAACTAGTCTATATTTAATACTCTATATATGTGTCTAAATATTCGATGTAACAGGAATTTTAGGCGTTCCTATAGAAACCAAACAGAGCCTAATTGCCGATTTTGTTTTCATATGTGATGATCCAAAGGGTCGCCATTTCAAAATTACTAGAATATTTGTACATATCTGTGCAAGTACATGGGAGGAAGGAGAGGAAGGGGTTGAGTGGTTGACGCATGGTCCCATATGTCATTGAGATGGAGGCAGACGTCCTACGTGGCTATCAACGTCAGCGTGGCGTGGTCAAACCCGCTCCACGTTGGACAAAACAGCGCCGCTCGTACCTAGACGCTAAAAGTGAACGGTTTTGACAGTTGAGGTACCAACATTAGACATGTTTATAGTTGAAGGTTAAAATTAGACGAACCCAATAGTTGAGGGCTAAAAAGTGGACTTAATCCTACCTAATAAGGTCAGAAAAGGACACTTTGGAATCGTAGTCAGATGTCCATCTTTCAGCCTGTTCGCTTACTCGTATCTGGCTTATAAACCATGACTTATCAGCTAATAAATAGTATTTTTCCCTCACATCAAACCAGCCAACAGTATTTTTTAGTCCTGACTTATAAGTCAAACCAGCCCAAACGAACACTAAACCGGCGAGATCTAACGAATCGGCTGCGAAATTGCAACCTGCAAACCAACACTAAGCCGGCGAGAGCCCATGATACCGAGTTGGTGAGGAAGACGTACTGGCCGCCCCTCGAAGGAGGGGTACGGCGTCGGGCGTCGGCGGACGGCGGGGCACGAGCTTTATTACGTGATAAGAACGTGAGCGCGCGCGATACTGCGGGCGCCCCTGAGACCCTGACCAGCCGGGCTGTGGCTATGCTGCTGGCACGCCAGCCATTCCCCCATTCCCCCGGTGCGAGTCGGTCAGCGCCGGAGTCTATTCGAGCCTCGACGTGACGGCGCATGGTCTCGCGCGCAGCCCCCGTGGGATTAATGGTCTGTGGAGCGTGGGGTCTCTGGATGGCCTGTGTAGCATCAATAGGCAGATCGCTGTCAGCGTCAAGCAGCTCTCTCTCTCTCTCTGTTTGTGGGGAGCTGTTGCTGTGCACAGCGCACGGGCTGGATCACGCACCTGGAAGTCCTTGTTGACGATCATGCCGACGGTGCAGAAGGCGGTGGCGACGAACCCAATCACCAGCTGCATCTCCACCACCAGCGCGTACGTCACGGCGCAGCCGCCACCGCCGCCACCCGCAGCAGCGCACAGCTTGTAGGTGAGCTCGACCAGCGGCAGGAAGAGCCCGTACAGCACCGCGGCGCCCAGGGTGAGCGCGAAGCCCAGCCAGTACTGGCTCCCGGTGACGCCCGTGGGGCGGTCGGAGGAGACGTGCAGCGCCAGCACGACGGCGCCGGCCGTCAGCAGCGCCACGGCGTTCGCCGTGGCCACCGTCAGCCGCTGCCGCAAGACGAGGAACGCGAAGAGCACCGTGAACGCGAGCTGCGTCGAGACGAGGATCGCGGAAGTGGAGACGGGCAGGAACTCGAGCCCCCAGGCGTAAAGCAAGTTGTCCAAGCCCGCGATGAGCCCGAGCCCCGCGGCGGCCAGCAGTATGCGCGGCTGGGTGAGCAGCAGGACCGGCGGGGTGCTCTGGTCGCGCGCTCGGCCTCGGCGACGGACGTAGGAAGCTGCCACTGGTGGGAGCAGCAGCGGCCAGCCACCGGTCTGTAGCCACCCGGAGAGCCATTGCCGGTGGCCACCCTTGCTGAAGTAGAGGCGGCTGAGGAGCTGCCCACCGGTGACGCCAAGCGCGAGCATCACGCAGTTGATCGCCACCAAGAGCCGGTGCATCGTCGTCTTGCTGCGCGTGGGCGGAGATCCATGGCTCGCTTCCACGTCCATGCCGATATGGTCGTGCTGCGGCGACTCGTGCCTCTGTCTGTGGCTGTGCACAAGACTAAGATGGTAGCACGCGTGCCTCGTGGTAGGTTTGGAGCTAGCTAGCAGTCTACAACTACACTTTGAATGCAACAATGACGCCGGGTCTCCAGAGACGTCTGCTCAATGCACAGGTGCTTATAGATTTTTTTTTTTTAAAAGCACAGGTGATACGTGTAGTCGTCCACGGTAGTTTTCATCAATCATTAATCGATACAATAAAGGGAGAAAATCAGATTACGTGCGTAATCAAAGGGAAAGGGGCTCTCTGCCTCTGGTGAACGTGGCCGACCGAGACTTTTTTGTTGTGATGACTTGCTGCGATCATATCATGTCACCACCAGCAGATGAACGTCGATCCGGAGAAGAAGGACCAGGAGGGGAGCGGCCACGGGCCACCTACTCCCGCGGCAGTTCATCAGCCTCGGCACCGCCATGTCGTCGCCCGACGACCCGCTGCGCTCCGTAGGCTCGGACGCAGACGCAGCGCGCGGCGGCGACTGCACGGCGTCGACCAGGAACGTGGAACCGCCGCCCATGGACTACTTCCCTAGCAAGGGCAACGGACTCATGGCCAGCAGCCTGTTCGGTTGGCTGGTTCGTATTCCGGCTGGAAATTTAGGATCGTATACGATAAGCATAAGCCAAACAAACAGGCTGACTAGTAGCAGCGACATGGTGCCGGCTGGCACTTCCTCTTTCGTCGAGTTCTCTTCTCGCAGACAATGAGGGAGAAGCGGCGTGGATGAGGGAAGGCGGAAGGGGATAGCAAGAGATGGCTTAGGCCTTGATACGCATGTATTTATTTTAATTCATATGTGTTGAAGTGGATTAGAGTAGAATTAAACTAAATTTCATTTCATTCCACTCCAACACATGTGGAAGTGAACACATATACCTCAAACAAAGCCTTAAATGGATCCCCGGCCGCGTGGGTATAGCGTGCGGGTAAAAAACATGGTGAAAAAAGAATGTTCGAAAACGTATTGTTATTTGGCAAACACCGGTATTTTTCTATGACAGTGTGGCAGACACCAGACAGGCATAGGACGGCGCTGTCGTACCATGATATCTTGTGAGGAAGAAGGCCACGTGAGGACAAAGAGACGAGAAGAGGGCTTTTGTTGGAAGAAAACTATGGCCTGTCCAACGGCCTTTCAAACAGACATGCGGCGATTGTCAGCATTGTAGTACTGGTACCTCTATGTTTCACTCGTAGATCCGTAGTTAGGCTCCACGACCTTGTGGAGCTTCACCGCAACGGCAGCGTGGACGCCGATGCCGCCCTGGATGCAGCCTCGCGGACGCCAGTGCTCGGCGTGGTGGTGAGGCAGTGGGGGCGTCGGAGACCCTGCAGGCGCGACGGTAGTGGTGGTGGCGGGCTCATCCCGTCGCTGGCAGCACGCTTTAGGATCGGATTAGGGTATCTCTGTAGGTGGGTGTGGCGGCTCCAGTCAACCTCGTAGTCCGAGCCCTCACCCCCACCTTTCTTTTATGTGTGCTGGGCGACAGGGGTCCACCAACCGAATTAGGGTTGGGCTCCCCCGATCAGGGAGCAGAGATAGGGCTCAATAGGCCGTTGGGCCTATTGGTGGAGATCAACTAACATTCTTCCCCTTGATCTCATTCCATCTTTCACTTTCATATCATTTGCTTTTGTTCATTCCATTACAGATTAGCTCATAGAGCATGTCTCATCGTCACGGTCCATTGCCGAGAGACTTAACAGCTACAACTCACTACTCTGTTCTGAAATAGATACTTATCTTTGGGCCTTCTTTTGTCCAGGAATATTTTAGGCTTTCCATTAAACCCAAGCTAGCTACATGTTCTCTGAACACCATGTCCTCTGAACATGTTGGGTGGTAAGTCTTTTGTAAGCGGATCCGCGAGCATCCTTTCTGTTCTTATATGCTCAAGACTTATGACTTGATCCCGGACTTTATCTTTCACAACATAATACTCTATGTCAATGTGTTTGGCAGCACCACTTGACTTATGTTGTGAGTATACTGTACTGTCTGATTATTATCGCAGTATCACTTAAGTGGTCTATAGATGTCGTCAACCACCTTCAAACCGGGTATGAACTTCTTTAGTCAGTTCACCTGCCCGTTGCCTCATATCACGCTACAAACTGTCATACATTGTGGACGATGTAGTGACGGTTTGCTTTGAGTTTTTCCATAAAATAGCTCCCTTTTGCGAGATGATAGAAAATCCACGTCTGGATATGCATTCACTCTCGCATAATCAGAATCTGAATATCCCACCATGTGGAGTGAATCAGATCTTCTATATGTCATCATGAGGCCTTTCGTTCATTGCAAATAATGCAAGACTTTCTTTACTAATTTCAGTGTTCTATTCTAGAATTGCTCTGGAATCTGCCAAGTAAAACCCGGTAACAAATGCCAAGTCAGGGCGCGTACATACTTGAGCATGTTGCAAGCTTCCGACAACTGAAGCATATGGAACCACTTTCTCTTTATCGATTGAGCTCATATTGGTTCCTGGGGCATTGAAAATCCCCATATCCGTCGCCCTTGACTACAGGAGCAGGTGAGGGACTACATTTGTGCATACTGAATTTCTTTAAGATCTTTTCCATGTATGCCTTTTGTGACAGTCATTATACCCTTTTCTTCTATCTCGGTGAATCTCGATCCCTAGAACGAACGAGGCTTCGACAAGATCTTTCATATCAAGTTTTGAGAACAAAACTTCTTTGTCTCCTGTAGTAGACTGACATCACTACTTGCAAGTAAGATATCATTTACATACAGGATAAGGAAGATAAACTTCCCAATCTTAAACTTTGCATAGACACAATTGTCCTCTACATTCTCTTTAAAACCCAAAATTCTTTATTGTCTGATCAAACTTCAAGTACCACTGTCTTGAGGCTTGTTCTAATCCATAAATGGATTTCTTTAGGAAGCATCCCATTCGTTCTTTTCTTTCCATGACAAAACCTTCCGGTTGTGCCATGTAAACATTTTCCTCCAAGTCTCCGTTGAGGAATGCCGTGTTTACATCCATCTGATGTAATTCTCAATCGTAATGTGCCACTAATGCTATTATTATTCTGAAAGAATCCTTACATGAGACTGGAGAAAAGGTCTTATTGTAATCAATCCCTTCTCTTTGCACAAAGCCTTTTGCCACAAGTCGGGCTTTATATCTCTCTATATTCCCTTGAGAGTCAAGTTTTGTCTTGTAGACCCATTTACAGCCTACTGTTTTGGCTCCTTTAGGAATTATTTTTAAGTCCTAAACTTTATTGGCATTCAATGATTTCATTTCATCTTCCATGGCCTTAAGCCACTTTGATGACTGATCACTACTCATGACTTCTTCAAACAAGGCTTTGATAATCCTTCATTTGAAATTCTTTAGTGTTGTACACTTCATAATCAGCAGGAATAGCTGATTTTCTAACTCTTTAAGACCTTTTAGGGGCCTCCATATTTGGCACATCTTCTGTTTGAGGCTGTTGTTGCTCCCCCTCATGTGTGGCAATTGGTTCTATTGGATCCTGAAGAACAGGTTCCTCATTTTCACTCATTTTTGCCATAGGTGGGATAACAACAGGTGCTAGCACCACAGTATCTAGCACTGTCGGTGCAGCTACAGCAGGTAGTGAGAAAATTGGCTCATAAATCATTGGAGTGGGCGCTTACACCCGCTTCACTTCAAGGTCAATTTCTCGAGCTACCATGCTCCCCCTCATCAATTTGTCCTCTAGGAAGACAGCGTGTCTCGTTTTCCACAAACTTTATATGTCTCTCTGGACAGTAGAAAACAAAAACTTTTTGACTTTTCTATGTAGCCAATAAAATGGCAACTTACTGTTTTGGGATATAACTTCCTAATATTTGGGTTAAATACTTTAGCCTCAGCAGGGCTCCCCCACACACACGCAAGTGGTTTAGTGAGGGTACTCTTTCTGTCCACAACTCATACGGTGTTTTGGGCACCGACTTTCTTGATACTCTATTGAGAATATAAATGACGGTTTTAACGCCTTCATTCACAAGTTCAACTGTAAGGTGGAGTAACTTATCATACTGCCCACCATATCCATCAGGGTACGATTGATTCTTTTAGATACTCTATTCTGCTGAGATTCGCTCGGTGTAGAATACTGAGCTACTATGCCATTCTTTTAGGGTATGCCGACCGTAGTACTCCCCCACGGTCAGACCTGACTATCTTAATCTTTAATATCTTAAATTTATCCAATACATCTTTTCTTTCTTTGATTGGATAAATATAGTCATAATGGGAGTAATCATCTGTGAATGGATCATAACCATCCACACTCTTTACAGGAAAGCTGACCACAGATGTCAGTGTAAATAATATGTAAAATTCCTGTGCTTCATTTGTCATCTTTCTTTACATACTTTCCTTTTATGCATTCTCTACATTGAACTTAATCTGAGAGCTCTAATGGAGGAAGAATATCATTCTTAACTTGTCTTTCTATTCTCCCCCTCGAAATATGGCATAAACGACAGTGCCATAATTTCGACAACGCATCGTGAGCTCTCTTATGCCACCATTTCCAGAGTAACACTCTGTGACCAGCTTTATCAGCTAAGTGGCATATCTTTGAAGAGCCAGTGAACTGCTCTTTATTCTATCGAGGTACTTGGTGACCGTGTCACATTTTGGGATTGAGCCCACAATTATAGGTTCAATCATGTTCTTTATCACAGCCAAACATTTCTTATTTGCAGTGACCCACTTTCTATGCTCAAAAGCCATAGGATATCTTTTGGGATTCAAAATCCCTTTCTTTAGTTGCCCAAGTGGCATCATTTTCTTTTGTCTCCCTCACCGGTGCCACAAACTCAATGGAACACGGTGAGGTGACTACCCAGTCCACCTTAAACAAGATGAAAACCAGGTCAAATCTTTTTTAACATAAAATTAACACCATTTGCATGCCTTGATTCCAACGTTGGTCAAAATCAAAACATACAACTATTCTTATACACTAATTCTACATCACCGTTGGGCAGAAATAGAATTAATGCATAAATCTTTAACTTTCATAACTGTTCTTACACACTAATTCTACATCACCGTTGGGCAGAAATAGAATTAATGCATAAATCATTAAAATTAACATATGTTCTTATACACTAATTCTACATCACCGTTGGGCAGAAGTAGAATTAATGCATAAATCATTAAAATTATCAACTTTTCTTATACACTAATTCTACATCACCGTTGGGCAGAAGGAAAATTAATGCATAAATCATTAGCATTACGATATTGTTATTAACAACGTTGGTCAGAAAATAACAACATCATAATCATGTCAAAACTCTTTTTCTCCAATTAAATACCACATTGGTTCAAAATAATTGGAGAATCAACATTTTCTTTAGCAGCGGAAAAACTTTCCTTTTCTTCAATTAAATACCACATTGGTACAAATTAACTGAAGAATAAACAATTTCTTTAGCTGTGGAAAAACTTCTCCTTTTCTTGAATTTTACCCACAAGGAAAATTGCTTTTTATATTTTCTTTGATCCATTAATCAATTTCCAGGAAATAAACATTTACTGGAAAAACTTTCCTTTTCTCCAGTTAAATATCACGTCTGTTCAAAATCACTGGAGAATATACCTTTTCTTTAGCAGCGGAAAAACTTTACATCAATTTCTTGAATTTTACCCACAGGATAAAATTACTTTTTCTATTTTTCTTTTGAGCCATTTTACATTTTCAATTTTCTAGAAAAAGGAAAAAAAAAAGCGGCTCTTGCTCTTTCATTGTTTTACCTAAAAGCGGCCCACGGCCCTGACCCACACGCCCTTCCCATCGCGCTCCCCGCGCCAGCCGCAAACTGGGCTCGGGCTGAATTGCCTGGCGCTACGCGCACCCGTCTGGGCTGAAAGCCGGCCCGATCAATCGGTGCCATTGATTCCAATCGGACGGCCGAGCGGGCGTTTTGGCCGGTCAAAACCCCAGCACCGCTCGGCTCATCGCAACCCTAGCTTCATTCGCCCCTTGCCCTTCTCTCTCTTCTCGCCGCTCTCTCTTCTCTCTACCTCAGTATGCAAAGCCTTAATCGAGAGGACAACCGGAGGGAGTGAGTAGCGAGCCATCAAGCGTTGTCGCCGCCCCCCTCGGCTGCTGCTGCGTGCTCCCGATGGGTGAGCACGCCGCCGTCGAGTGGCCTGGCCGTGGCGCCCCCTTGACCGAGCCCGGCGAGCAACTGCCCCCGCTCGGCACTTCTTCTCCCGCGCCGGTGAAGGGACGATTCGCCCGGTGATTAGGGTTTGGATTTTTCTTCTTTCTCTCGATTTCTTTGTTCTTCCTTTTCTTTTCTTTGACATCCGAATGGATCTAGGGTTAGGTTCTCCTTTCTTTTCTTTGACATCCGAATGGATCTAGGGTTAGGTTCTTCTCTTCTTTGGATTTTTCTTTTCTTTTCCTTTTCGGAGTTCATCCGAATGGTTTTCATCTTTTTCTTTCTCCATGCGAGTTAGGGTTAGGTTCGGTTGAACCCATCTTTTTTTTGTTCTTTTTCTTTTCGCTTGAATTTCCCGAACAGATTATCCCCGTTCTAGGGTTAGGGTTTCGCTCTGTGAGCCTAGGGCCCTATTTCTTCTCTCGATCCAAATGGATCTGTTTTTTCTTTTTACTTTTGCCGCATGCGCCCGTCGGACGGTGCTGGCTCCTTTCCCCACGCCGGCGGTGGCGGTGATGACCGCAGACCGTGAGCCGGTCTCTCTTTCTTTTTGCTTTTACCCGGTTAGGGTTAGGGTTATCTGAGAGTCAACTCCTGGCTCTGGTACCATTGTCGAAGATCGTAGTATTGGTACCTCTGTTTCCAGAGATCCAGAGTTAGGCTCCACGACCTCATGGAGCTTCACCGCATGCGGTAGCGTGACGCCGATGATGCTCTGGATGCAACCTCGCGGACGCCAAAGTTGCTCGGCGTGGTGGTGAGGCGATGGGGGCGCCGGAGACCTGCAGCGCGACGGTAGTGGTGGTGGCGGGTTCATCCGTCCGCTGGCAAAGACGCTTTATGATCGGATTAGGTATCTCTCAGCAGGTGGGTGTGGCGGCTCCAGTCAACCTCGTAGTCCGAGCCCTCACCCCCACCTTCCTTTTATGTGTGCTGGGCGACAGGGGCCCACCAACCGAATTAGGGTTGGACTCCCCCGATCAAGGAGCAGAGATAGGGCCCAGTAGGTTGTTGGGACTATTGGTGGAGATCAACTAACAGCGATACGTGGACCAACTTGCATGGTGAGTCTATTAGAACTTAGAAGTGGCACGTACGTAGGCGACATGTGAAATGTTTGCACGCACCTGGAAGTCCTTGTCGACGATCATACCGACGGTGCAGAATGCGGTGGCGAAGAAGCCCATCACCAGCTGCATCTCCATCACCAGCGCGTACGTCACCGCGCGGCCGCCGCCTGCCGCCGCGCGCCTGTACGCGAGCTCGACCAGCGGCAGGATGAGCCCGTAGAGCGCCGCGGCGCCGAGGGCCAGCGCGAAGCCCAGCAAGTACTTCCCTCGGGCGACCCCCGCGGGGCGGTCGGACGAGACGTGGAGGCCCAGCACGGCGGCGCCCACCGTCAGCAGCGCGACGGCGTTCACCGTGGCGGGCGTCAGCCGCTGCCGCACGATGAGGAACGCGAAGAACACCGTGAAGGCGAGCTGCGTCGAGATGAGTATCGCGGAGGTGGAGACGGGAAGGTACCGGAGGCTGTACGCGTAGATGTAGTTGTCGGCGCCCGTGGCGACGCCGAGGCCCGCGGCGGCCAGCAGCACGCGTGGCGGGGTGAGCAGGACGGGGGCGCCCCGCGGGTCGCGCGCGCGGCGCGCGGCGTAGGAAGCCGCCACGGGGATCAGCAGCAGTGGCCAGCCTACGGACTGGAGGCACGCGGACAGCCACTCCCGTTGGCCGCCCTTGTCGTAGTAGAGGCGGGTGAGGAGCGGCCCCGCCGTGGTGCCCAGTGCCAGCATCCCGCAGTTGAGCGCCACCAGGAGGCGGTGCATCACCTTGCCGCCGCGTGTTGGCGGCGTCGTCAAGTCCTTGCGCGCTGCTTCCACGTCCATGATTGCTGTCGCCTGCGGCCTGCGCGCGCTGCGGCGAGCCGTGCACGCAGTGTCGTCGCACGAGAGACGGTACCGGTGGCTGGCCTGAACGAAATCTAGACACGCCTAACGAAAACAGTACGTGCATCACAAACGCTGAACGGCTGAAGTGTCACTCCAAGGTCCACGCCGGCTCGCTTATTATCAGCGAGGCGTGCTGATCTCTGCCGCCACCCGCCGCCAATACTCCAAGGTCCACGCCGGCTCGCTTGTTCATTCACAAAGCAGCCAGCATTAGTTTGACCGGCCGGTCGGTTAGCTCTGGTGAATAGTGACAACAAAATAACAAATGTGTAGTTAAGTTTGATGTTTGGAATCGAAGCAAATAAGAACGTCATTTTCCCGTCAAACTGTCTAGGTAAAGAATGAAGTACTACGACAGATGAGCCTTTGCTGCGGACGGATGGCGGATGCAGCCATGCGGCCGGCTTTGGGGGCAGGGCAACCGCACAATTGTTTTAGCCGTCTGAATGGAACGAGGCGCCATCGTCACCAGTGATGCGTTAGGTCCTGGGCACTACGACAGCAAGACAGTCTCTAATAGAGATGCATTGGTTATGAACGGATATTGTTTGGTTTATATTTATTTGAGTAATGTCCGGCTTTTCCCTTAAGATCTTGTTTGGAACTATGGATTAATAGCTAGTTGTCTACCTGTCATTCGGATGTTTAATTGTCTACCAACAACCGTATGTTGACAACACATGAAACAACCGATGACATGCATAACAAGAATCGAAGTGTTTTGACAGCTTCCAACACACGAATTTTGAACCTTCGGATTTTAATCTGGCATATTCTTGAATTTTGCTGTTTTGTTCTCTTTGTTTGCCGGTTGGCCAGGTAAAAAGGTTGGATTTGCGGTGCATAACTTGTTGAGGACAAACTTAATTGCTATGCCTATATCAATTTCTAGCACATAGTTTAGGATAAAAATGTTTTCACGAGAACTTTTTGGAAACTTATTCAAATAAGTTATATAAAAATCTATTGATATGTCCATGTCAACTTCTAGACATAAGAGGAAAATATTTTCATGAGAACTTGTATGGAGAAACTTATTCGAATAAGTTAGGTGGTTTAAGTTAGATATAAAACCACTTTTGCTATGTCTATGTCAACTTGTTGCACATACTTTTAAGATAAAAACATTTTAATAAAAACTTGTATGAAGAAACTTATTCGAATAAGTTATGCAGTATAAGTTATATAAAAAACTTGTTGCTATGTCAATGTCAACTTCTAGCACACACTTTTAATAGAGAGAAAAATATTTTCATGAAAACTTGTATGCAGAAATTTATTCGAATAAGTTATATAGTATAAGTTATATTTACTACAGCTGATAAGATTCAACGAATGAAGACAAGAAAAAAAATGGGCGCAGTTCCCAAAAAAATCAAAAGCAGAGACTTGTGTGGGCCTCCCTCGCCAAAGAAGCAACACATTAGACCAACAAACCATTATCTGACGCCCATCAAATCCCTTGAGCAAAGGCAACAAAACAACAGGTTGATGGATAGCTTTTCCCCTCTTTTAACTCCTATTTACTACTCCCTCCGTTTCAAATTATAAGTCATTTTAGTTTTTCTACATCATGACTTCTACTATTATTAGAACTAGAAGGATTCCCCGCGCATTGCTGCGGGTATTTCAGAAAAAATTGATTGCATTGTGGTGGAAAGAAGAACACATATTAAAAATGGTATGTGATAATAATGAGTTATCGTAATATTTCTGTTTCTGTACCCGTCTAAGCGGGTTGCGACCTGTACATAAACTTCATTCTTTCTTTCCTTAATTGAGAGGCAGAGCTCCTAATGTTAGTTTCAAAAAATAATAATGAGTTATCGTAATGTTGGAGAGGGCAGAAGATATTGTCTGCCAAACATTGCTTTTTGTAGCTATAATAATTAGATGGTAACAGTAAGATCTAAACACATAAATTTACATAGATACAACTATTGTCATGGTTGTGTCAGCACCTAAGAGTTTTTTAGCTTAGAGCGACGGGATCATCTTGTGTATACTTTATTCAGGTTTGAGCTCATGAGTCCCTTGACAGATTTGACCCTCAGTTGATAATTGTTTGTTCAGTATCTCCTTCATGAATCACTGTGTAGAAAATACAAATCAAGCATAAGCAATCATAAGAGTGACTTTGACATTACAAAGGCTGCAATTGTTAAGGAAAAATCAACACTACCTCTTGAGCCGAAGCCGGCGAAAGTGAGAAGAGCTTATGTGTTGGTTCCTAGCAAATAGGAAGAACATTACGAACCACCATGATACCGAGGGAGCAAAGTATTTGTTTACAGATTTTAAATGTCCTGCCTGTAAGGGGGGGAAACTTGTGAGTTTTTTTGGACAATAAAAGCAAGCAACAGAATCATCATAGCTCTCGTGTTCCAGGCACTCTCTGATTTAGGGCCTTCATTTCCACTTGGATTTATTGCTTAGTAAGAAAAAAGAAGAAGATAAAACTAATGGAAAGGATCATAGGCGATAATCCTGACTGAGCACAAAAATCTAATGCAGAGTTGGCTCCAACCTGAATATTCACACATATGATTGCCCTCCATTCATACAAAATTATAAATGTTTCATAGATACTGATGTTCCTTAGAAAAACAGAATTACTATACATATAAATTAAATAGCTAGAAATGCTAAAGCCAGCAGATAATTGAAGTATTCATGTTTGCCTGGAAGTATGTTTGCGTACCTCCTCACCAGTGGTTGCTGCAGCAGAGGCTGGGGCGACCGGGGCCGGCCGTGGTCAGCTTGAAGAGTACAGAAAACCGTAGTTGTCAATTAGTCATATAAGGAATCCTGAGTAAAGATCGGAGAAGGCTGTCATCGGTCACTGCCTTTTTAGGCCATATTAATTTGGAGATACTACAAAGTAACAAATTGCACAGCAAAAATACCTGGAAAAAGTAAAACCATAAGCCTAAAACCGTAGACGATGGATTAAAATCCAGGACCACCTCTTTAGATAGAACAGATCTATAGAAGAGAATTTGAAACAATAGTATAAACAAATCTAGAGCAGAGAAATTGAAAGAAGAGTAGTAAATTTCTGTACTGAAGGAGCACAACCATCTAAGAACGACAAAGAGAAATCAAATCTCTGTTGAAAAGAGCACTGACTGAATAGATTGATATATGGTACGTAGACTCACCTCTGCTTGAATCTTGATGCTGGAAGAAGAAAACAACAGGAACATAATGCGCTCTGGCTAGCTATATACACCATCCAAATTATGAATGCCGTCATGCAGAACCTTGACATCCAGTCTTGATGATGAGAGAACGTGGAGCAGAAACTGCTGTCAGTTGTCATCTGCAGACATAGCTAGCAATTACTGGGTGCTTGGGAAGAGGGAAGACCAAGGGGTAGGGGTGAAGGGGTAGGCTGCGGTTCTTGGATTCGTCAAGCCGGACGCACCAAGAGAAGGTGAAGGGTAGGGAAGGGCGACGGCCCCAGCCAACATGCACGTTATGGAGAACCATGCGTGGCTCGAAGGAAGTGAACGGCGTGGCTTAAGGAGATGTTAGAGAAATAAGTTAGTGGGGATTTTGCTTTATAAGAGTATATGATAGGATAAGATGCCCCTTGTTATGCGTAGCAGGCCACAGATCTTTGAAATAATATTGTGAGTATCACACAAGCTTGCACTGATTAAGAATGACGTAATCGAATCACATAGAAAACCCTAGATGATGATGTTGAAGCAATCACTAGATTAGGATTCAACAAAGTTGACCGCAAATTCTATTAGCACAACTCTAAAAGATTACAAGTGATTGTCGTCCTCTCATAACCCCTACTTATCCTCTAGGACCCAGTGATCTTTGCCGTATACAAGAATCTAGTGTAATAGAACTACTTCCTCCGTTTTAAATTATAAGATGTTTTGGCTTTTTTAGATACATTATTTTACTCTATATTTAGACATAGTATATATCTAAATGCATATCAAAAGCTATGTTCTATGTATATTTCTTCAATGTCTTGACTCTAGGAACTTGATGGTGGAGTCCGTTACTTTTGTTGGCACATTTTTGCTATCATCAATATATGAAATTGGAATTTTCCCCAATTCATATCTCATAAAGCAGAAAATATCCCAATCTCCAAATCCCATTCAACCCTCTTCAAATGGTTTGAAAATAAGTGTACTACTAGGTAGCGTGCCCGTGCGTTGCTACGGGACAACTAAACTTTTATACTAAAAATACACGGATTGCACGATAAGATATGCTAAATTTCTAGACTTCATCAAAATATTTGATCTTTGATGTTATGTCAGCTGGGCACCACCAAAACAGAACTGTCGACGAAGTCACAGCTCAAGCTCCAAGGGGAAAGATCCATACAAACCAAATGATCAAGATGTTCAATACTGCAATGTGCATATTCTAGGTGATGCCCAGAGAATTACATATTCTCATGAAACACTATAATATACTTGATCTTAGCAACATGTTGTTTTGAGCCACATTTTAGATGTATAAGCACCAATTTTACATGAAAGTATCAACGCAAGCTTGCTTGAAGAAAGGACACTAAACACATAATACAAGCACGGAGTTCAAATTAAAGGAAGTGTCCATATAAATGTTCATTTGTAAAGGTAATTAGAGTGAAAATTTCAAAAAATAATAATACACATTCTAGAGAATTCACATCTATCTCCAATTACAATTCTTATTTAAATGTGTCAAAATTCTCAAACACCAAATGTTATGATTCCAAATTGCTTCCTTTTACTCCGGCGATTAAGATCCTGAATGGCCATGCCGGCAAGGCCAATTTGTCCAGCGCTCCGCCTGTGTGCCGGTCGTGGCGCCATTGCGGCGCCGGCACCGGCGCCCTCCATGCTCTTGGCAGCATCACCAGAGCCTTTACTCGTTTACTGTAAAATGATGAAGCTCATCGTTCATATGAAAATAATCATGGGCTCATAGACAGGATTTGATCATAATCTCCATCGCTGTGTTGCTTCCTCCAGTCTAGCACCAAAACGTATATTCTTCTCTGCCAGTTGTTCTGATTCTTGCCCCGAATCACGACGATAGTAGTTGGCCTTCCCATCATTGACCATTAGTTGTTGCACAATCTACAAAATAGATAAGGGCTAATAGGTTTATTTGCATTTTTCTAACATAAATTAGCACAATACTATACTGTTCATGAACAAGAATGTAGATGTAATCTTCAGATGCTCCCTAAAAAAAACAAAGTATATGATATTGATATGGTTCCGTGGTAGCATGACAGGAATAAAAAAATGAGTCCCTTTGCTTGGCAATGCAACATATCCATCTAGCAAACATGTTGTGCTGCAAAAGAGAAAAAAAAAATCTTAATGCAGTTCAAATTACACGTCAAACCGGGAAAAAAGACTACTAATACAACATCAATCAATCAAAAAATAAGAGGCAAAAAGAGAAAGAAATCAAGAAGTGCCTCAAACTCTGATGTCAGCGTGCTAAATTTCACGAAGTTAATCTCTGTAATGTAGATATGTATAGACCAAAAGTGAAGGTACTAAACCATCATTTTGTAAGATGGGGTTGAAATTATTTCCAGTCACACCAAGCTCTTTGGGTGTTCCAACAGACTGTACATAATAGAAAATTAAACTGTGCACTGAAAATTGGGAGCAATTGAGAGGAAACAATTGTAGCTCTTCAGTACAAGAAAAGAGAAACAAAAAAAAGAATGTACTGCTTCACAAACCAACTGTCAAAATTAGAGCACATCTTTCTATATCAGCACACCCATTCTATCTGAAACTAAAACCAGAAGTTGCACTCTTGGGAGAAGTTGCACATGTAGAGTATTAGTACTTATGCAAGACACTGGCTAATGATAGCATTTTCTCTGGCTGTGTTGTTTCAGTGGTTTCACATAGTTTGAAGTTTGAAAATTAAATATTTCCGAAATATTTAGAGTGCGAATTGAGAAATAAACAACTCATGTATTGCTCAGGATGGATGGCTAAACCATTAGCACCAGATCCAAAGAATTGCAAGAGATAACTACTGCTACCATCACCATGACACTGTACTGTCAAAATTAGTGCACAGCTTTCTATCTCAGCACGCCCATCCTATCTGAACTAAAACAAGAAGTTGCACTCTTGGGAGAAGTTGCACATTCAGTATTAGTACTTATGCAAGACACTGGCTAATGATTGCATTTTCTCTGGCTCTGTTGTTTCAGTGGTTTCACGTACTTTGAAAATTGATTCAGAAATATTTAGGATACAAATTGAGAAAATTATAAGAGAAATAAGAGAAATGAAGAAAAGAAAAATTACACAACTCACGTGTTAGCGTGTTGCTCAAGATGGATGGATGAACCATTAGCACCAAATCCAAAGAATTGCAAGAGATATGCAACTGCCGCTTACGCTTGCCATGACACTGTTAGGCCACAATTTGGCTTCCCATCGCCATTCAAGTATGTGTTTGGGCCACGGGTCAAGAATTTGAATCGCATGAGTCAATCATGAAGCGTCAGATGGAGAATTTGTGGGCAATTACGATGACATGACCATCATCTTGTTAAACAAAGCTCCAATGTAGGAGATAAAGCGAAAAGTTGTAACAATGTATATGACAAATGCGATTAAGTCACCTAATCTTAGTTTCCAGAAAGCGATAGGATCTTCTTGTTTTCAGAAATACAAATCATGTCCATTGTAAAGTTTTTTAGCCTCCTCAGGCAAGACATGACATTCTTGGACAAGAGTAAAGTCTCCAAACAGTTTTGTACTTTTAAACATTGATTACTCTCATGTGCTTTAGCTTTTCTTTTTTTTAAAAAAAAAAAAATCTAGTTACTATCTCTGTCGGTACATCATGTTTACGAGACAACATTAGAACTTACTGCACAGCAGGTGCCCATTCATGATATACAGTCCATCCTAATTTGCATTGATCCCAAATTTGAAATGGCCCGAAAAACATATAAAATCTAGAAAGATTGATGGTGCAGATAAGGTGATATTTTCCGGCATAGGCAGGAGCTATGAATATTAGCATTTGAATGTATTATAAGCCTAACCTTTAGAAAATTCTTCAAGACTTCCCTCATTTTCCTCAATGGAGCCTTTCTGGTCCAGGAATCTTTTTATCCGGTAGCTGAAATGGTCCTTGAATTTGTCCAGCTTGGGGTCCAGGTCGTATATGGGACGATGGTCGACATCGCCTCTGGCGGTTGCCATAGTTTTATCTTGTTGCACGGTAGATGCAGTAGCGTTGCTCTTGACCTTGCAAAGTGCATTAAAGCCAGATTCAGAATTACACCAGCGATAGAAGCTACATGTGATGATGTAGTAAGGCTAATTACTTGCTGCAGCAACCACGGAATATAGCAGTTTATTGTAACTATTTATTATTATGTAATAAATGATGAGAATGGCAGAAGAAAACCAACCACCAAAATTTAAACAACTTTAATTGAAACCTGAGATCCGCTTGACTTGTTGCCATAAGAACGTATTTGAATCAGGGAAAAAGATCTGCATACCTTCTGCACTCCTGACCGGCGAGCCTCGCACTGGACAAACAGCACACTCAGCCGCACATTGCCGCCACCCTGTGAAACCATTAAGGAATCGATCAACCAACAACCATCAGTACAGAAAAAAGTGTACTGTAACTCCAAAGCCCGTTAACCTGACTGACATCACACAAACAGACCAAGAGCTCTTTGCAGTCACTTGCTACTTTCACGGACCAGCCCGCCACATCTCACCAGAAAAGCTTTTGAACAGTTTGTTTATTGTGAAGAACCACTTCGATCTGTAATCGACAAATTTGTAAATACTTAACCATAGCAGGATAGGAGAAAGTCAGCATGAAAAAACAAGGAACTGATGTGCTATTTGACCTTAATGTCGTCATGCCCATAGACCTCAAACTGAGTGTCAGGTTTTCTAACCAGAGTAGCAGAGGTTAGTATCCACGTTTTTTTGCTCACATGATCAACCACTGTCCCTGAGCAACACATACGCCATCCATCTGTGCAAGAGTATTCAATTTATAATCATCATATAAATTTACTAAAATTTAAAACAAAGTCAGAGTAAAACTCTAAAGTCCCCCCTTCACTCTATACCATATTTGTGTAAAATGCAATCAGCTTTTTTATGGTCAACATATAGCAATACTATGATTAGTAATAACAACTGAATGCAAGAGCCCAGATAACAAAAAATACCAGTAGTAGCAGCAAGGGTGACGATGGATCTGCGAACACCAAGCACTGATTCAAAGTTTTTCTGTTCATCTTCATTGAGGTTCACTACTCTTACAGAAGAAGAAAAAAGATTGACGGAGACGGATGTTCATCGAACCTGCAGCTTCGCGTTTGTTTTTGATTTCCGCTCCGGTTGTTCTTCATCGCACCCGGGGGCATCGGCGGTGTTGGGGTTGGGTGTAGGGTTGGCGCTGGGGGTGAAGGATCTGCTGTGAGTCGTCTCTCTTCCGAACACGGTTGGAAGTTTGCCTGGGACTTTGGACATCAGTGCCCCCATCGCCGAACCTCACCGCAATCCCTGGCGGCGCCGTCCGATCAACAGGCGAGCGAGAGCACTACAGCGGCAGGAGCAAAGTCGTGAGGAAGACGGCGGGAGTAGCGGAGGCGTGGATGGGAAGGGGATGGGGATGGGCCGGGTACCGTGAGAAAGCGCGGATGGAGCAATCGATTCACGAGGGGAGGCGGCTGCTGCCTAGGCGTCATTGCCGGACGCAGGCCGTGGGACGGCGGCGGATCAGACCGGCGGGTGAATCACTGGCACCGCCGCCGTCGCCGACGCTAGGAACCCTAGGACGACCGGATCAACTTCCCCAAGGAGCGAGCAACCGACATGGACGAGGAGGGCAGTGAGGAACATTGCGGACGCGGCGCACATCTGGAGGAGAAGCGGGACGATCGCGCGAGTGAGCGTTTAAGGCGGACCGAGCAACCGACATGGACGTGGAGAGGCTGCAGTATAGCACGACCGTGAAGGATCTGGCCAGGGCGGCCAGGCGGGATCGTCAAGCGAGGCGCGGGGGAGAGGGATCGACGCCGGGTGCGTGATTGGATGCGGGATCGACGCCCGGGGAAGCGAGCGATCATGCGACGCCATCTATCACCGGGATCGTCGTCCCTCGTGCGGGGGAGGGGAGACCGCGCGAGACCAGGCCCACCGCGCGAGCGGGGGAGCGAGGGAGCGCTCGCGGTATCGCACGGCACGGGGAGAGGCAGAAAAAAAAAATGTCGCAAAAAAAATATTCATGATTTATTTTTTTTAGTTGTAGAAGATTTACTCTTTTTTGTTTGTTTGCTTCAAAAGAAGATTTACACTCTTTGTATATATTGAAATCACGAGATGAATCTAAAGTCCGGCAATACAAATAAGCTTGGATTATTCATTTGCAAAAAGCTTGCAAACTAAACAAGCTTTGTATATATTGAAACTAGCTAAAGTCCGGCACAATCAGCTTGGCTCGTTTGATGAGCTCGTGAGCCAAGCAAAAGTACAATTAGCTTTAAACGAGGGCCTCTCCGTAGTGTTCGTCAATTAGATTCATATCTCATTTATACAGCGTGTAGAAAAATCAGAAGCTCAGAACCATTAATTAAAGTTAAAAAATTGTAGATTCATCAGCAGCTTCAAGGATGTCGTCATGTCCCTGGCGAGAGAAGGCTGAGAGGCAGGCCAAGGACAGGAAGTAGGTCCGGCAACTTCCATATGGTCATCCTAGACTTTTTATGAGGAGTCAATCCCGCGAGCTAGGGTAGCGCCCTGACGGCCTCCCCCTGCCGCCGCCGACGGCCTCCCCCTGCCGTCGCCGTCGGCGGCGGCCACCACCCAGGTGCCGGCAGGACCCACCTCCTCCTCCTCCCCCCCCCCTCCCCCCCCTCCCCCCCCCCGCCCACCGACGAAGGCACCGTGGCTTTCGGTTTCGGATCCTCCGCCCCTACCTCCCCCTCCCCCTCCCCTCCCCTGCCTGCTGACGCAGACCCGTGGGATCTGGCACCGGTCCCGGGGGGTGGAGGCGCTCCGCTACCCCCAGCAATCCCCACCACCCACCTCCCCCAGCCCGTCGGCTGTAACACCTCTGGTGTTACGAGCTTACTTAGCACCTAGGTTAAGGCCTAAGAGAAATTAGCAAAACAAGTTCTCGAGTTCTAAAATTTTAAAACATACATAAAATGATAAACAAACCCTGTGCGACTCACTTTTATGGTTGAGAGAAATCAAATAAATATCTAAGTTAATTTACTCAGTGCGTAAATATGCTAATGAAAATCCTAACAAGAAGTGTCGGTGCAGAAAGTGACCAACACGTAAATATTTGTAGTTTTGCCGTACGTTATGATCAGAGGTGGCCTAGCACTCAATGACATAGGGTTTAGGCAATGTGCCCTACGTCCAGTTTGAGTTGGTCGGTGACTTTATTCCTAAGCCCAGGTGCTCGAAGTTTACAGTGGGGTTACAAACGAGAAGAAGAAAGATGGGGGTACAAGAGGTCCGGTCAGACTCTGGTCAGAGGGACCGAGAGTGACGGGAGCTCCGCTATGTGCTATGCGTTCGAGCGTGTGCTCAAGGTTTGAACCTGGTGGTTCTATTGTTGTGTACTAGTGAATTTGATCGATATGAATCAACTGTCTTTTGGGAGAAAGCGCATCCCCTTTTATAGATAAAGGGGATGACCTTACAAGTGAGAGAGAGAGAGTACGTATGCTGCTAAGTCTTGCTGCCCACGCCGACGGGTACAAGATGATGGTAGGCGCCCACAATACTGTTTAATGTCAGATGCACGTGGGAGGTTGCGTCGTCTTCTTCAGATATGGCAGATGTTGGTGCCTGTAATACTGCTGATATCAAGAGGCATGTAAGGGGTTTTACCATGTTCGCCTAGCACGGTAAATGCCGGCGCCCACAACACTGTCGATGCCTCAGAGGCACGTGGGGGAGCCTTACCGTATTTGTCTGGTATGAGAGTTGATGGCGCCCACAACACTATAGGGGAAAATATCGACGCCTACAACATTGCTTGGGTTCTGTCATGTTAGGGAGATCGTAGGGTACTGTCCTGCAGGTGTATAGGGTACGGTCCTCGGTATTGCAGTTGACTTGAGTGTGATGCCTTACTTTCTCCGTCCGTTTCCTGGTCCTTACCGAGCGGGCGTCCCCGGTCGGTTGGTCCCAGCCGGCTCTGATTGTGCCAGCCGAAGAGGAGCTGTAAGCAAGGGTTCGGCGTATCCCCAATCGGAGAAGCGGGTTGGAGTCGAAAGTGGTGTTTGGCCAGACCTTCTGATCAGAGAGGCCATCCGGAGGCAGGCTGGAGACCGAGGCGAGTGCTCCGGTCGGAGAGGTGGGCCGGAGTCGGAAGCGGGTGCCATTCCTCCTCGGCAAGGCCTTTCGGTCGAAGATTTGATCGTCCTTCTGGCCTGTCGTCTAGGTATTTGGGCCGGCCCATGAGTTGCGCGTTGCTCGCAACGTTGTCTATTGGGCCGAGCCTTTATTAGGAAGCCGGTCCATTAGGGACTCTGGGTTTATGAACCGACAAGAAGAATAAAATAAGTAGTTTTAATTGTTTGGTACGAAAAACAATTTCTATAAATAAAAATAAAATGTAACTTGTGTATAGTGCTTATATAAAGATGATGAGCAAGTGGTGTAGATAAAAATGTAACTTTAATTTTTAGAAAATAAACGTGTTAACTAATGTTCTTGGGAGCTCCAAAAATCAAATTGGGAATTAAAATCAACCTTTTCGTTAAGTCGGCAAAGATCTGAACTTATATTAAAGTACTATTTTTGGCGAGTTATATTGAGCAAAGTAATTAAACAGTGCTTAAATATTTTATTCCTATGGTTTAGTATAAAGTGTGGACTATTGCATGAACTACTTGTTGGATGAAGTTAATCAAGATTAGGCCTTTTAAAAATTGTGGCAAAAGCGTTCATGGTGGTTAAGTTCAAACTGAACTCTTGTCTTTTCTAAGTCTGAAAGAGTAGTAGACAATGTCATTTTGACGTTTAAATTCTAACTAAAATGTTTAAATACTAGCTTCATATTCTTGTATTATTGGTTGCATCTAAGTAAGCTCTTAGGCATGGGGTAGGTCATAGTTGCGTTGGGTGTCGCATTACTCTCTTAAAAATTCCCTAAACTTTGTTGGAACATGCTTTAACCATGTTGTTGACGCTCTATTCGTGAACTGGCGTTCAGCGCGATGAGCTCATGTTGACATCCTTCTATCCCCCTCTCTGGTTGCTCTCTAGCCATGGCGATGGCTTTGCTAGGTCGCTGGTAATGTTGACTTTAGGATAGGGGAATTAGTTTGGCCTTAATTGTGATCATTAGTAGCTTTCGCTTCGCTTTAAAATGCATGCACGTCACCAATAGCAGTCGCTCGGTCTGAGTTCACGGTCACCGTGGGCACAACGCTGTTGGCGCTGGGCTCACGTCATGACCGAGCTGTGGTCGCTGGCTAGCTCGTGCGCCAAGCCAATGCCGTGCTGCGCCCTGGCCTTGCGTTGGCCGACCCGCCTGGCTGTAGCCTGGTCCCACTACCACGGTGTGCGCGCGCTAACATCTAGCCACCAAGCTGTGAGGCATGGTCGAGATGGAGCTGCGGCTATCCCCGCCTTGCCGTCGTGGCGCTCGCCTCGCCCTTCATTTTACCTACCACGTCGAGTCTCTGAGCATGTGTCGCTACCCATCATGTCTAGGTCGACGACCCCGGTCACAACGGCGATGGGATGCCTCCCTGTCTCACTTGCTCTCGCTAGCCGATGCTGGGGAGCCCTGCTCGGGTCTGGCCATGCCATTCCGCGCACTTCATGCCAAGCCTCGAGGTCTCATCGTCCGTACGCACAGGCTCATACTACTGCCACCATCAAGTGGAGCCACCCATCTTAACTTGCTCGGGTTTGCTCGTGTGCCCTCTCCATGACCGCACGGTGTGCGAAGCCACCGCTCCTCCTTTCCTTCTAGCGCCAGTGACTTTGCCGTATAATTCCTCGCTCTAGCGGGTAGCTTAGCAAGTAGGCTAGCCGTCTCTTCCCCCTCAAGCTCGGTCATGCCCTACCAACCGGCAATTTGGCCTTTTGCTCGTCGTTAGTCATGGGCGCCACCGAATCGGTAGGTTGGGAGGTAAGGCATGTAGGAGTGGTGGCAGTTCAATTGCTCGTAACCCTGAGCTCGCCTTGACTCCCTCCATCCGATGCTCGTGCTATTTTGGCTAGGATGCTCATCGACGGCGTGGTGATGCGTCAGTGTCCATCGCGGAGCGCTGCCGTCTCGCTTGGTCGTACGTGGCCAACACCGCACATGGTCTCTCCCACTTCACGGATGCGTTGGTTGTACTCGTGGTATGTCACTGGTGCTCGCGCACCTCTTTTCCTCCCTCTCCATCCTCCTCTCTTGTCGGAACGATCACGCCGCCGCTGTGGATAGTTGCTCGCCGCTGCAGCTCACACTAGTGTGCCTTCGAGCCCCTAACCGCCACCCATCTTGGCATGTTTAGTCATAG